TAGTCAGAGGGCTGAAGAGGGGTTGTTGCGGGGGTTTGGTCATTTAGAGAGAATGGATCAAAGTAGAATGACATGGAGAGCATTTAAATCTGTAGAAGGAAGGTGGGGTAGGGGTCGTCCTCGAAAAGGTTGGAAGGAAGGGGTAAAGGAGGTTTTGTGGGCGAGGGGCTTGGACTTCCAGCAGGTGTGCGTGAGCGTGTTTGATAGGAGTGAATGGAGACGAATGGTATTTGGGACCTGACGATCTGTTGGAGTGTGAGCAGGGTAATATTTAGTGAAGGGATTCAGGGAAAACAGTTATTGTAGATTTATCCAGACCTGAGTCCTGGAAATGGGAAGTACAATGCCTGCACTCTAAAGGAGGAGTTTGGGATATTAGCAGTTTGGAGGGATATGTTGTGTATCTTTATAGGTATAGGCTTCTAAACTGTTGTGTTCTGAGCACCTCTGCAAAAACAGTGATTATGTGTGAGTGAGGTGAAAGTGTTGAATGATGATGAAAGTATTTTCTTTTGGGGATTTTCTTTCTTTTTTGGGTCACCCTGCCTCGGTGGGAGATGGCCGACTTGTTAAAAAAAATATATATAAATTATTATAAGAATATGTACATACTAATAAATAATATGCAATATATAATAATAATAATAATAATAATACTGAGTTTCATATCACCACTACTAGATGTCAGTGTATCAAAACATCGCTGCTCAGGAAGGGAAGGAAATTCTTGTGTTTTCCTTATGTTTCGTGCAGTTACAGTGGTCCCTTGTTTATCGTAATTAATCCGTTCCTGGAAGTGCTACTGTTATCGAAATTTATGATTTTCGAATCAGTTTTCCCCATAAGAAATAGTGTAAATACAATTAATCCGTTCCTGACACCCGGAAGTACTAAAACAAAAAAAATTTTTACATGAAATATAGATGTAGTACATAAACAATGCAATGGGAAATGATGAATGAAACATTAACAGCATAACACTTACCTTTATTGGTGATTCTTCTTAGTGTATGGAAGACTGGAGGAGGAGAGAGATTGGATTATTTACAGTTTGGAAGGGGAATCCCCTTCCATCAACACCTCGGGTACAAATTGCTTTTCTGGGGTTACTTCTCTTCTCTGTTTCTTAATGCCACTAGGACCAGCTTGAGAGTCACTGGAGTCCTGTCTCGCAAAATAACTGTCCAGAGAGCTCCGTTTCTGACGTCTCTTTAACACTTCCCTAAAATGGGCCAAGACTTTGTCACTGTACATGTTGCCGATATGGCTTGCAACAGCCTTGTCAGGGTGATGTTTCTCCATAAATCTTTCCATCTTGCCCCACATTTCAAAAATCTCCTTAATTTCTGAAGAAGGCAACTTCTTCCATCTCTCTTTCTCCTCCTCTGCAGCAAGATTCTGAACTGCGATCTGTTGCTCTTCCTGCTGAAGCTCTTGCAGCTCCTCAGTGGTTAGCTCTTCGTTGTGGTCTTCCACCAACTCTTCCACATCCTCCAAACTCACATCCAACACCATGGAACTCCCCAGTGCCACAATAGATTTAACAGCTGACATAGGCTCATTAGGGTCAGCCCCAAACCCTTCAAAATTCCTCTTGTGGACACAATCTGGCCACAATTTTCTCCAAGCAGAGTTCAAAGTCCTGGTAGTCACTCACTCCCAAGCCTTACCTATAATGTTTATGCAATGGAGAATACTGAAGTGTTCTTTCCAAAAATCTCTTAGGGTCAAGTGAGTGTCTGAGATCACATTAAAGCACCTTTGAAACATTGCTTTGGTGTAGAGTTTTTTAAAGTTTGCAATGACCTGCTGGTCCATGGGCTGGAGGAGAGGAGTGGTATTCGGGGGCAAGAACTTGACTGTGATGAACCCAAACTCCTCAAAAATTAGGCCATCCAAGTTTGGAGGATGAGCAGGTGCATTGTCCATTACTAGGAGGCACTTGAGATCCAATTTCTTTTCCAGGAGGTAATTCTTCACACTAGGGCCAAACACTTATTGAACCACTCGACGAAAATTTCCCTCGTGACCCATGCCTTACTATTAGATTTCCAAAACACACACAGTTTACTTTTCATAACATTGTTTTTCCTGAACACACTGGGATTTTCAGAATGGTACACTAGTAATGGCTTCACTCTGAAATCCCCGCTAGCATTAGCGCACAACATGTCTTTCATAGGCTTGTGTCCTGGCAGTGCCTTTTCCTCTTGAGTAATGTAGGTCCTCTTTGCATTTTCTTCCAAAAGAGGCCTGTTTCGTCACAATTGAACACTTGTTCAGGTTTCAGTCCTTCAGCCTCTATGTACTCCTTGAATTCCTGCACATATTTTTCAGCCGCTTTGTGGTCCGAACTGGCAGCCTCACCATGACTTACCACACTGTGTATGCCACTTCGGTTCTTAAATCTCTCTAACCAACCTTTGCTGGCCTTAAATTCACTCACATCACCACTAGTTGCAGGCAGTTTCTTTACCAGATCCTCATGCAACTGCCTAGCCTTATACATCCGTACATCCTGGCCAGTTCGGCCATACGTACGCCATTTTCATATTGTTTAATGATGTTTTTCTTAAATTCAATCATATTTCTCACCTTCTTTACCAAAGGCTTGGCACTAGGAGCTTTCTTTGGAGCCATGGTAGCTTATTTAGTAGTTGCAAGCACTACAATGAATGGAATATTATGAAATATTTCGCATGAGCAAGTGAGGGGACCGTCGCTCACTGGTAAACAATGCCACACTGGCTGGGAAGGGAGGCCAGGGCGGCTCAGAGCATGAGTACACGTCCCGGACGAATGACTATTCGCAAGTCAATATACGATTAGCGAGCCAATGTTTTGACGAAAATATCATTACGATTTCCCAAAATTACGACTATCAAGCCCTACGATTATCGAGGGACCACTGTATTTTGCAAAACATTTTGTTTCTAACCATGGTTCCTAAGAAAGTACGTGCAAAGGACAGTGCTGAGTAGAAAAAAGAGGATGATTTCCCTGGAATTAAAGCAGGAAATCATACGTAAACACAAACTAGGTGTACCATTAAGAGTGTAGCAATTAAACGATTAAGTGATAGAAGAAGGAGGATCTGATGGAGTTTGCCTTACAAATACTCCGTTTTCTGTTATAATAAAAGCAGGGGAAGGTATGAAGTCAGTAGGAGGAGTGGCTGCCGTGATGGCCCCCAAAACAATGGCAGCCACTAACACTACTCGCATACGTAATACGTACAGTGGACCCTCGACCAACGATGGCATCGATTAACAATAAATCCGACTAGCGATACATTTTAATGCAAAATTTTTGCCTCGACTAGCGCTAAAAAACTCGACCAACACTATTTGTTCCGTCAGACGTGTCCACTTCTGGCCAGTGTTTACAAGCCAGCCAGCCACTGCGGTCGCTTCCAAGCATACAATCGGAACATTTCATGTTATCACAGCCTTTTTAGTGATTGCACCTGCAAAATAAGTCACCATGGGCCCCAAGAAATCTTCTAGTGCCAACCATACAGCAAAAAGGGTGAGAATTACTATGGATATGAAGTAAGAGATCATTGCTAAGTATGAAAGTGGAGTGAGTGTCTCCGAGCTGGCCAGGTTGTACACAAAACCCCAATCAACCATCGCTACTATTGTGGCCAAGAAAACGGCAATCAAGGAAGCTGTTCTTGCCAAAGGTGCAAATATGTTTTCGAAACTGAGATCGAAAGTACTCGAAGATGTTGAGAGACTGTTATTGGTGTGGATAAACGAAAAACAGATAGCAGGAGATAGCATCTCTCAAGCGATCCTATGTGAAAAGGCTAGGAAGTTGCATGACGATTTAATGAAAAAAATGCCAGCAACTAGTGATGATGTGAGTGAATTTAAGGCCAGCAAAGGTTGGTTTGAGATATTTAAAGGGAAGGGAAGTAACCCCGGAAAAGGACTCGCCACCTCAAGTCCTAATGGAAGGGGATTCCCCTTCTAAACACTAAGACCATCAACACTCTCCCCTCCTCCCATCCCAACAATCATCACCAGATCTTCAATAAAGGTAAGTGTCATGTAACTGTGCATGTCTTCTTCAGTATGTGTGTATTAAAATTAATATTTCATGTGGTAAAAACAATTTTTTTTTTCATACTTTGGGGTGTCCTACACGGATTAATTTTATTTCCATTATTTCTTATGGGGAAAATTAACTTGACTAACGATAATTTTGACTAACGATGAGCTCTCAGGAACGGATTAATAGCGTTAGTCGAGGGTCCACTGTATTTCATTCATTCTAGTGTATATATCATGTTTCTATGTTATTAATATTGTTTATTATGTCAGATGAATTGTGATAGATAAATAAGCTGTAGAGTTAATGTTAGGGAAATTATTGAAGTAATTTATGGTGTCTGGAATTCCATTGGAATGAATTAATTGTATCTCAGTTAATTTAAATGAGGAAAATTGACTGCAAACGAGCAAATCCAGATGCGAGCAAGGTCACGGAACGGCTTAAACTCTTTAATGGAGGTTCCACTGTATGTTAATAGTCACACAAAAGGCTCTAAATCCAGAGAAAATTAGAAACTGAGTGAGAAGTGTGTGGCATAGTGAGCATAAACAATTGAATGGCACAGGTGGCTTACAGTTCAGGGAACAGTGAAAATAAACAGGTCATGGATGTGGTTGCTTAGGCATGTACCAGACAAATGTTGGAGTCATTGGGCTTAATAAAATAGTTCAAAAGACACTTGATGCTATCACTATGTATAAACTCTGGAATTACAGATTTTTGTTCATTTTGTCTGGTTCTTCCAAGCTTTGTCTGGTCAATTTTTTGTCCAGTATTGCTTAAATTCATTAGAGAGAGTTGTTACTGTACTGTAAATATTGACATGGGTAATTTTTCATATAAAATGCATTAGTGATTATTATTAAATAATTTAGCTAGTGTTAATTTATGGTTTGTATTAAGCAGTGAGACATTACCCATTTTGTTTCCCCTAACAAAAGGTTCCGAGATGGGCCAGGAAGCAGAAACCAGGGTGGTAGCTGGAACAGGGGGTCTGGGTCGGGCAGCGGACACATGGAGAGAGGCAGGTCAGCAGACCTTCTCAGACCTCTCAGTCACTTGAGTGGCAAGGAATCCAAGATAGCCATGGATATTTTGAATGCAGTTCTGGCTTCAGTAAGTGTGTTTCTTGACATGTGACAGCTGGTTATTCAAGCAGCTGATTCATTTACAGCTCAGTGAAATCTGAGGAAATATTTACACTGATTTAGATTGTAAGAGGACAAAAATGCATCTAGTATTTATTAATAAACAAACTTTATTTCTTTCTGCACTATACAAAAATGTAGTTTACATGAAATAAAATACATTGTTAAGCACAAAAGAAAGCCACTAGCATGCAGTGTATTTCAGGCAGACTAATCCCAATGATCACAAATTACTTAAGAACTAGTCATAGGTTATTAAGTAGTTAATTTTTTTTAAGGAATAACTTTCACAAATGTAAAGTTATGAAGAATTTGAGGCACATTTTATATGCTGTATATTGTGCATTAATAGGGGTTTTGGCTAAGGCATTATTATTGCTTATATGTAGGAAAGTAAATATTGGGAATGTAAAGTGGTGGTCATACATTAAGCTGTATATTGTAAGAAAATGTATTATTCTATTATGGTGAAATATATTATACTGCTTGCTAGGTTATGAAACGTTGATAGAATAAATGTGAAGCATAGTATGTTAAGTAAAATATTAAATGTTGGGTGTTGCCAGAAAGTGTGGAAGAGTACAAAGGCTAGGTAAAGTGTAGACTGGTAGACAACCACCACCTAGTAATGTACTACTGTTCTCTCATAGCAGTGTAAAACTGAACCTTGTTAATGTTTCTTACACTGGCAGGATTGCTAAATATGTCTCGCACGAACAAGTAAACTCACACACAGATAACCCGCACATAAAAGAGAGGAGCTTACGATGACGTTTCGGTCCGACTTGGACTAACACTCTTCGCACTAATCTCGTTCATACCTCTCCTCCCTCTACAGATGCCCCTGGTGTCTACTCTATTTCTTGTTCCTCCTTATTATTTATTATTTATCACACTGGCCGATTCCCACCAAGGCAGGGTGGCCCGAAAAAGAAAAACTTTCACCATCATTCACTCCATCACTGTCTTGCCAGAAGGGTGCTTTACACTACAGTTTTTAAACTGCAACATTAACACCCCTCCTTCAGAAAAGAAAAACTTGTTCCTCCTGTCCTCTTCAATACTTTGGAGAATCTTGTCAATCTCTTTCAGACAGACTTAGGGAGCACAAAAATAGTGTTAGGCTTGCCGACACTAACAATGCTCTTTTCTGTCACGTCAGAGATCACAGCCATCCTATTGACTGGTGTTCTGCTAAAGCTGTCTTCCCTACTTCCAACTTTAACAGTCGCCGTCTGGTTGAATCCTCTCTAATACACAATTTTCCTTGTATGAATCTTAGTCCTGGCTTCGTCTCTGTAGATGCCTTCCTCTCCCACTATATTGTAAAATGCTCCAAACTTCAGAACACTCGTGACCTAACCTGATTCCTCCTTTTTCTTCCTCTCCCTCTTCCCCTTTTCCTCTTTCATTTTTCTCCTTTGGGTTGTCTTTCTTCTGCCCTGTGTATTTGTTCCTTTTATTTATTTATTTATTTGTTCCCCCCTCCCCTCGGTGTTCTTGCTCTTACCCTCTGTGGGCACCTAGCTCTTTTGCAGTGCTCATCTTTGTTAGTATGTGACTAGCCCCTCCTACTCTTACCACCTCCCCACTACTACTTCCTTCCACTGCTGGCGCCGCCGCCACCGCCACCACGACAACGACTACCGCCGCCTCCTGCCTATATATACCCATCCTGCTCTCCTTTTTGTTAGTGTGACTTTGTAAATGGCTCAAGTCGGACCGAAACGTCGTCGTAAACTCTTCTATGTGCAGGTTTTTTGTGTATTATTGAAGTCATGGTATTGTGCCTTTTTGTTATTTAAGTAAACTCATACAGTAAGCTCTCTTATAATGGTAAACTCGTACAGTAAACACTCTTGTATTGCAGTTTCACATATTTCAATTTTCTGGCAGTGCAGTTCACAAAGGGCAACCAAAACTGTTGATGGTCTATGAAAATCCAAATATTATGCACCCTAAAGGGTGAAAAAATCAGTTAACAATACAGATTTTGGCACTAACCATCATAAGTAAATATAAAAGAAACACTACCTGTTTATAAATTCAAGTCTCTTCTCAAAGATCACTTACTCACCCAAAACCAAATAAATACTGAATAACTCAACCTTATAAATTGTATATCTTAAATGTTTCTCACAATTATATCACATAAATGTTAAACCTAAAACCCAATCTAACTTTACTATTTTTTTTAAATAAACTACCTAACAGAATTCTCCATACGACTGAATGTACAATAATACATGCAACCATATGACCTGTCTTTGTAATACTCACTTGTACTTTATAGTAATCTGTTTACATTAATGTTTTATCACTGATTTCATCATTGCTTAGTTAATCTTAAGTTAATTTTAAGCCAGCCCGTAATGCTATGCATAGTATAAGTGGCTTTGGCATGCTGCTCTTATCTGTATTTTTTTTGTACCTCTGTATGTGTGCACAAATTGTAATAAATAAATAAATAAATAAATAAATAAATAGTGTCAGGTTATGTGCAAAATCTGGGTACTACAGATCATGGAATTTTTCCTCTGGAACATAACTCACATGTTATGAGGTTTCCTGTACTTGCATTCTATAAATGTTTGTACTCTGTTTTTAATAGTTTTTATTTCTGTAAAATGTTCTTTTCAATGTTTTTAACCCTTTCAGGGTCCAAGGCCAAAATCTGAAGTGGTGCCTCAGTGTCCAAGAATTTTCAAAAAAAAAAATTGTTATTTTTTCTTGTGAAATGGTAGAGAATCTTTTCGTGAATGTAATAAAACAAAAAGTACGAAATTTTATGGAAAATTGACGAAATTATGCTCTCGTGAATTTTGATGTGTCAGCGATATTTACGAATCGGCGATTTTGCCGACTTTGACTTCCATTTTAGGCCAATTACATTATTCCAGTCGACCAAATTCTTAGCTATTTCACTAGTATCACTTCTATTCTATCGATTGAGCACAAGAAATCGCCAAGTCAACTGTTTCAACTACAAAATAAAGTGATCGGAAATTGGTAATTTGGCCAATTTAACACAAAGTTCAAAATATTCCAATTTCAAAATAGAGTCCAGAATAAACAATGTAGGTATTCCTGGTGCTAAACTAACATTTCCTCTGTTCATCAGTTAAGTTTTGAGGCTTTGCAAATAAATTCCATTTTGATTTTTTATTCACATAATGAATTTTTATTCGCACCAAAAAATAGAAGATTTACTGTTATGCAATATTGTAATAATTGTATAAATATCATCACCACATTTGTGAATGTATATTAGACCCACCAGCTGGCGTGTATTAAATGTGTGAGGTCGTTTGTTTACTCTTGAACATCGGCAAAAATTTAACATTTCCGCCACTTTGAGCTCAGTTTCAAGCCATTTCCAGTGCTAAAACCAATCAAAATTATCTCTATTTCTGTAATATATCTTCCATACTATCAAATGAGACCAAGAAATCACAAATACAACTATAAAAAACATTCGAAAATACACTGCAAAGTCGCTGTTTTAATCGAAAATCACAGTCTCAGTATTTTTTCTCTCATTATACACAGTGTGCTGCAGGATTTGTTTTATGTGGTGCACACATACCACATAGATGTATTCTCTCATATCTAGGCCCAAATTTACCACTCACAGTTTATCAGAGTGAGCTGAGCTCATGACGTAGATCTACGGTTTGGACCCTGAACGTAAAGCCGTAGATCTACGGGACAGACCCTGAAAGGGTTATGCACCCTAAAGGGTGAAAAAATCAGTTAACAATACAGATTTTGGCACTAACCATCATAAGTTTCCATAGTGTCAGGTTATGTGCAAAATCTGGGTACTACAGATCATGGAATTTTTCCTCTGGAACATAACTCACATGTTATGAGGTTTCCTGTACTTGCATTCTATAAATGTTTGTACTCTGTTTTTAATAGTTTTTATTTCTGTAAAATGTTCTTTTCAATGTTTGAGGCCTGAGACCTGAATGCTGGAGTGATGACCCCTAGAACTATTAGCAAGTAACATTGGTGTGCGAGTCTTATTTATGTGAGGTTTTATGTTCAGTGAAACATTTGAAAATTGGATTTTGTCATTAATTGAAGTATGTTGCAGTTAAGATGTGAGTAACTTATTGTTTTTACAACATTCTGTTAATAAGTAAAGGGAATGTGCCGAAGTATCGGTATTAGTTGATTTTGATGGTACTGACATCAGCAACGGTTTTGATATTGTCCCATCTCTGATATGTAAAATGGTACTCATCATCACAAACATAATTTGCTCATTCAACAGCTTTATCAGTAACGAATTTTGATCTTTTAATACAGTCACAGAATTCATCTGGGGGCATTAGTCGCAACAACTGGTATGACGGTCCACCAAGGAAGATGAGGCGCATGGACTGGGTGAGTGGTAGTCCATATTAGGCACATCATTAGTCTTGTGCCTATTTTTCATTTTTTCAATAGCATAAATCTGGAATGAGGAGTTAAACCTATACTGTACAGTATCTATGTAGCTAGCCTACCAGTACTCCCACTACCCACCAAGGTAGACAACAGTCTGCTCTCTCTATTTTTTCACAACACAGCTACATATAATTTTCTTCGCCATGTTGTGTTGTAAAAGAAAATTCTCATGTGTAGTAGTCATATTTTAGTGAGAATAACATAAAGCTTACCTCATGTCTTTATGGCTTTAAATTATTTTTATTGATTTTTTTCATTTCAAACTACACAACTTCTCGTGACCTTTATTCCTCAATGTGTATTAGACGAATCTGTGATGCTGAATTTTTGAAATTTTGTAATTTAAGGTTTGGCACGTTTGTGAAAACGTGAATGAACAGTACTCATGATTTTTACTCCACAATGACATAAGAAATGTGGTAAAAGCCACAATGTTAGAAATTTCAGATACTTGCTATATTTTCAAAAAAGTCTGAGAGATGGAAGATTGGTGTTGTGGGGGTTGTCCCAGTATGTTTGATAGTGTGCTACACTAGCACCAGTCATAACTTTCTCGCCAATCTTTACTTTACCATGGATTGGTCAGTGTTGCTCAGTGGGGTGAGCATTGGAGCCTTGTGTAAATATGGGATGTGTGTTCCCTCAAAGAGGCTCTGCATGGAGGTCTGTGAATGCTGTGGAGTAACTGAGTGGTGAGTGTCTTCCACAGGATGGGGTGCGATCACCACCCATGCACAAGTATCCCCAGCGTGGATACCGTCGTAAGTATAAGGGCTACCGGAGTATCAGTGGCTATGCTAAGGGTCCATTGGATTATCGAAAGATGACAGAAATCCAGTTAAGGGAAATGGAAGTGGCCAGGCTAGAAATGCCTCAACCTGCGAAAAAGGAGAGGAAAGACAGTGAGAAAAAGATTTTGGCAACAGAAGAAAAACAGGAAGTAAAAGAAGGGGAGCAGGAGAAGGCCACAGCTGAAGAAAACAGTCCTCCTGCTGATGCTGACAGGAAACAGAGGTAAGCTCTTACACGATGTGTTGCTCTCAACTGACTCTTGTCAAACCTCTGCATTCCAAGAACTTAAACTGAATTAAACCCACTTACTGTGGTAGAGTGTTGCCTAGGTAAAGCTTCTCAACCAGTATGTTGAGGAACATGCTTCTGGAGACTTGTAATACCACTCGGTCGTCAAGTGACTCGCCTGTGAGTGTATCTCACAAACCAACATGTCATGATTGGTAATTTGAGGGATTCACTTAGTGATATAAAAATCCATGACATAAAATTCTGATAAATATATATATATATATATATATATATATATACATTGTTTGTTGTGCTTTTCAGGCAGAGTCGGTCAAATGAGCCAAACTGCCCCAAATTGGGTCATATAAACAATTTTCATTTATAAATGGATAGATATATATATTATTGTGAATTAACATGTCCTCCATATGTTTATTTTTACACTAAAACTAACTAAGCAACCTAACCTAACCTTGCTAAAAATAATATAATAGAATTCAGCTTAATCCTACCCAATCTGTTTTTAGGTCAGCCTTTATTTATTTAGTATTATTTAGCATCAATGAAACATATTAATTTTGTGATGTTCAGATTGATTTTCAAGTTGTTGCAGCAGTGAACTTACACTCAGCTTGTGTGGCAAAAACATCTGTTGCTTTATGAGCCAAGAGTGCAGGCTCTGTCTAAAAAGCATACCATACATATGTACTGTACATACATACATACATACACATACATGCATACATAGTGAAACAATATCACTGAAAAACAGTAAAATTAATATCTGAAGTCTTTCATGGATTTACACACATTTTTTGAAGAATTTGTGAGAAGAATTAAGAGTACGATATTCACGAGTTAATAGGTGATCACTAAGTGAGGCTTGAAGGAGTTGGCTGGCAGGAGTAACCAGTGTGATCCCTCAGTCTTGTGACTGGTGAGGGTTCTTATACCTTAAATCTACTCTAGCCCTTGCCGTTGTAATCTTGATAACTTTAAGTTGACTATCTGACTGGCCAGTACACATCCTAAGTAATTACTGTAATACATAACCAAGGGATGTTCTAGGTAAGGCAACTACCTAACCTAACCACACCACTTACCTAACCTAACCCAATCACTTACCTAACCCAATCACTTACCTAACCTAACCACTTACCTAACCTAACCACTTACCTAACCTAACCACCTACCACCACGTGCCATTCCCAGACCCGTGTCCACCACGTGTCATTCCCAGACCCGTGTCCACCATGTGCCATTTCCAAGACCCGTGTCCACCACATGTCACCCCTAACCTACCTACCTATCTAAGCTAACCACTTACCTAACCTAACCAAACTTAACCAACCAAACCTAACCACCTACCTAGCCTAACCTAACCTAAGCTAACCAAACCAACCTGCCTACCTACCTCTTAATATAGATAATGATCCTGAAGGTCTACTAAAGTGCTCTTTTTTTTGGAGATAGGAAATAAGACATTGCTCAAAGGATAAACCAGTACCAGAGATTTCAAGCTTAGTACATTTAGTTCATGAAAGTAAATTTACATTAAAATATAGATGGCTAGAATTTAGTTCATTAAAGTTATACTTAAGTGAACAAAGTTTACATTGCGTGATCTAGTACATGATACATTTTACAGTAATTACCCGGGCTTGGGCTGGGTGTTTGCGAACCGAAGTCAGGCATTAAGTTTGATGTTGCATGGCAAGACTTGCCCACAAGTATGCATGGTGAAATAAGACACGTAGAGTAAAGCGTTATTTACAGAGAATGTTTTTGCTTGAAATTGAGCTTTTATCTAGTACAGTACTCAGATTTGTGTGATTAAATTTCAGCCTTAATGAGCAGAGTAGTTCATTTAAGATGAAATTTAATAACATCTTTGAATGACTCATTAAGGTTTCTCCTGCCAACTATTTTTTAAGCTCTTGGTGAATAATTTCTTATCTCCCTTAAGGGAGTAATATCTCATTTCCCGTTAATAAGTGTCTTGATGCTGGTCAGAGGCCCTTGATGCAGGAAATTGGACATGTCCTCCCTCTCCTTGGATATTTTCTGTCTCATTTTCCCAGGTGCTAAATAATCCTTATTAGTAGTATTACACTTCCCGTAGTGTAATACTACTAATAATAATAATTGAACTATGAAATATCTTATTCTTGGTTCTTCTCTTTAAGTTAATTCGAAGATGTGTTAACACATGGCGGTATTTGGGTATTTCTGTTACACTTTTTGCAGAGGTATTCTTTCCTAATTGTAATCATTCATTTTATAGTTATTTCTTGTCATTTATAATGCTTATCATATTACAGTCATCATCATTTTTTCCCCATTGTTGAATTGATTCTTGGATCTAGTAAAACTGTATAAAATGAGGCAGAGAAAAACATTTCTAGCATTGCTATGTGTAAGTATATTAAGGTCTTTTAGCCAAGTAGGTTATCTTTGTTAGTGCTAGAGATTTATGAACTCCTGACAGTCTATATAGTGATAAATAAATTTCATATTGTAAATATGCTTTTAAGTGGTCTTAAGGCAGAAGGTTTGTTTACGAAATAAAAGACTCCTACACTCTTGACTGTTGATTCAGAAAATGTCAGACTATTTCCTTCTTTCAAATCTTTTGTTCCTTTTTAAATTGATTGAATGTGCTATTCTTGATAAATTGTTTCCTTTTCTGGAGCAGAGTAATGTTTTACCATGTGTTCAGTCTGCATATAGACTATTTATGATAAGATAGACATGTGACCAAACACTAGGACATGTTTAGGAAATGTTTTGGTCTTGAAGCCTTGATCGCTTGGGTTCTGGGACTGAAACATTATCTGATATTAATAGGTCCTTATGTTTTCTCACGTGTCTTTTTAAACCAGTTTGCCAGTATCAGCTACCATGGTTTATACCACGATAAGTTAGATACGTGTGCAACGCTTGGAATCTAGTTTTGCGTATGTTTTGCTTATCAACTTGTTGGTATTGTATACCAACTGTATTATGTTATTTCATTCATCTGAGACAGCTTCATGCGAAGTTTATAATGATCTAGCACTGAACACTTGAGAAAATGCATCATTGTTAATTTTGTTGGACACCTCTGCTATATTTGTTACCATTGATCATGGATAACTGATAACTGATATTTTTGCTTGTAGTCTTTGTTGCTTCTGAAGTTGTATGGTTGGTCATATCTGGTGGTTAACCCCTTCTGTATAAATTACAAAATGTAAAAAAAGGAAGAAAAATTTTTGTTTCTTCTTTTTCGGATTGGTCAAATTCAGTGGGAGACTGCTCTTCCACCTTGTCTGGTGGGAGACTGCTCTTCCACCTTGTCTGGTGGGAGACTGGTCTTCCACCTTGTCTGGTGGGAGACTGCTCTTCCACCTTGTCTGGTGGGAGACTGCTCTTCCACCTTGTCTGGTGGGAGACTGCTCTTCCACCTAGTCTGGTGGGAGACTGCTCTTCCACCTAGTCTGGTGGGAGACTGCTCTTCCACCTAGTCTGGTGGGAGACTGCTCTTCCACCTAGTCTGGTGGGAGGAGACTGCTCTTCCACCTAGTCTGGTGGGAGACTGCTCTTCCACCTAGTCTGGTGGGAGACTGCTCTTCCACCTAGTCTGGTGGGAGACTGCTCTTCCACCTAGTCTGGTGGGAGACTGCTCTTCCACCTAGTCTGGTGGGAGACTGCTCTTCCACCTAGTCTGGTGGGAGACTGCTCTTCCACCTAGTCTGGTGGGAGACTGCTCTCCCACCAGATGGTAGTCAGTGTTTCTGTATCTGAGTTATCTTCTTTGTCCTATGGTGTTCCTCTGGACTGTTCTTGGATCATTATGGTTTACTGTTTATATTAGTGGTGTAGACTCACTGTTGGATGATCATGGGGTCGATTAATCATTTTTATACTGACAGTACACTGGCCTCCATCTGGGTTTTGAATGTGGAAGATGCATAACTCTGGTTTAGTTCTCTTCTGCTCGATGTTTACACTTAAATGATAAATAGAAAATTGAAATTAGGTGAGTGTAAGACAAAGATTTTAATGATGAGGGGAAAATTTCAGAGGAATACTAACAGGATATTTTAGTTTCTTTGAATGTGGTACTGATAGTTTGTAGTCTGTGGGATCAGTGAAGGATCTTGCAGTTTTCATATTATTAATTTATTAAATCAGATATGATCTTGATTTGCAGATTATCTTGGTTCTTATACACTTGTTTTTCTTCTGGAATTGATTTTTGCAGTTGTTTTCCTCTAGTATTTAGAAAACTTGTCAAAGTATTGTCATGTTTCAAATCTTACATTTCTAAATT